TGGGGTAGGTTTAGGGGTTAGCATTTTTGTAGCATAATGTAGGAAATTAATGCTTTAATTGACACAACCAATAAAATCTTTAGAATCAGCTGTGGGGCGGAGTTTGCACTGAAGTGGATTGGGGGAAAAAATTGCGCATGCGTGTCATGTGCCTGTCTGTCAATGGGAGGAAGCCACGCCCTATTTGGAGCTCCCACCCCGTTTTGGAGTTCCCGCCCCCATTTGGAGATCTCCAGGCTGCAGTTATACCCTTCTCCAAATGGGTGTCTATTAGGTCTGTAAACTTTTGAAACGCATGTGACTTGAGGCTGAGCTCTAATTGGCTTGTTTCAGATTGTCCTCGGACCCTCCCACTTTTGATTTTAGCGAATCAGTATTGTTTTTATATATTTTGGCCTCATGTGATTGAATATCTCTTCCAAGATGAAAGTAAATTTGATTTTATTTTTACAAAAAATCCTTTCACAAGACATTTAAATTAATTAATAAATAAAAAATGCGGATCATGGAGCTTGGACGGAGATGGCTAGCTGGATGCGACGTAAGTCATGCCTTTTATTGTTTGTTATTTCAAAGTCCTGTTACCGAAGCATTGTGGACAGCGACACAGAAGGAAACTGAAACAATGCAGTATATTAATACATAGTCATGTCTGACAACTGGATAAACATGTTTTCAATACCATTAAAATTAAGATAAAAAATAATGGTCTATAAGCATTTAGGAGAGTACAGTTTTTGCATACTTATTATATTGGGCTTTATTAAATTTCATTTGAAAATATGAATTTATATGCAATTTTTTTTTACTACAAGTCAAGTTATTGAACAATTTTCACAGTCCTTAAACAGATCTTAAAGGATTTGATATCCTGTGGCTCCCTCGTGTGGACAACATTAGTATTATGGCCTTCATCTCTGAATCACATTAATATAAATGGCTAATTTGTTTGAACGATTACACTTTTAATGATTACTTTACTAACAATACACCCACATTAAACTAATTTTAGCTAAGCAGTAACGATACATTATTATATCACTTTTTAAATGGTTATTTAACAATTGCATTCTGCTCTTTGCATCAGTAGCCCCTCACTGTAGAACAAAGATCCAGGGGGCGTGGTTGGATCCACATCTAGGGGGTGGAGATGGGTGGGTTTAGGGATCAGGGGGTGGAGACGGGTAGGTTTAGGGGTGGAGATGGGTGGGTTTAGGGATCGGGGTGGAGACGGGTAGGTTTAGGTATATGTAAGGTGGGAGGAGTTGGATCTGGATACAACCTGGCCCCCTGGATCTTGTGTTCTGCAGTGAGGATCTCCTTTGCATTCATAACAATTGCATTCTGCCCCGTTCTGCTCTTCAGCCCTGTTATGCCATCACTGTGACACTGTGATATTAAAGTGACACCATAAATGAGCACAAGTAAGTTTCTCTTACAGTCTTGATTTGTATTGACCTCATTAAGCTCAAAAGTTCAGCTGTTATGGGAGAAACTCAATGAGTTTTTTTTTTTAATAATAAGCCCACTGACTTTGAAATGACTTCACCACAGTACCATTCAGTGTTTCCACTGAGGATGATGGTGTAGCGGTAGGTGTTTTACCTCCAGGTCTTTGGTGATGGGGTGATGAGCTCCGTGTGTGATGATGAGGACGGCGTAGGCGCTACAGATCAGCCCGTGAGCGGCCTCGATCAGGCCCGCGTGCCAGTGCGTGACGCCCGCTCTCATGATGGCCATTCCCAGCTGCGCGTTATTGGGGTGATAAAGCTTCCTGAGAGCAGAACAGAGTCCAGCTGACCTCATATTAGGAGCACGGGTGATTTCAGAATCTCAGGAATGAACGAGGTTTAGAGTAAATCAGCAGACTCACGTGTATCCGTCCACCATGCGCTTCGCGTAACCCGCCGCCTCGGTGAACTGCTGCAGGAAGGACAGGACCTCGCTGGCGGTGCTGAGGACGCGCAGCAGATGCAGGCTTGTGTCTCCAAACACTGGATCCTGCTTCTCCAAACACTCGCGGCAGATCTTAACCACCTACAGCACCAAGCAGCCGTTAATGAGCGCAGACTAAAACGTACAGTACAGTGACACGACCGAGTAATTTATTCAATTGCATAGTTTTATATTAGTCTAATCGAAAATCATGGTTTAAACCGGTTTAGTTCAGTAAACGTTTGTCTAAAAGCGAATAGCATTATGCATAGAAAAAATAAATAAATACTAATAGGCCTACTTTAGCATGTTGATGGAGGAACACATGATTTACTGACCACAGAAATGATTTTATTACAAAAAGGAAAAGTTTCATTCATTTACCGTGTGTATTTTTGTTTATTTTTTGTTAGTAGGCTACATAACAGAAAATATTATATATAGTTTTTGCATACTTATTATATTGGGCTTTATTAAATTTCATTTGAAAATATGAATTTATATGCAATTTTTTTTTACTACAAGTCAAGTTATTGAACAATTTTCACAGTCGTTAAACAGATCTTAAAGGATTTGATATCCTGTGGTTCCCTTGTGTGGACAACATTAGTATTATGGCCTTCATCTCTGAATCACATTAATATAAATGGCTAATTTGTTTGAACGATTACACTTTTAATGATTACTTTACTAACAATACACCCACATTAAACTAATTTTAGCTAAACAGTAACGATACATTATTATATCACTTTTTAAATGGTTATTTAACAATTGCATTCTGCTCTTTGCATCAGTAGCCCCTCACTGTAGAACAAAGATCCAGGGGGCGTGGTTGGATCCACATCTAGGGGGTGGAGATGGGTGGGTTTAGGGATCAGGGGGTGGAGACGGGTAGGTTTAGGGGTGGAGATGGGTGGGTTTAGGGATCGGGGTGGAGACGGGTAGGTTTAGGTATATGTAAGGTGGGAGGAGTTGGATTGGTATACAACCTGGCCCCCTGGATCTTGTGTTCTGCAGTGAGGATCTCCTTTGCATTCATAACAATTGCATTCTGCCCCGTTCTGCTCTTCAGCCCTGTTATGCCATCACTGTGACACTGTGATATTAAAGTGACACCATAAATGAGCACAAGTAAGTTTCTCTTACAGTCTTGATTTGTATTGACCTCATTAAGCTCAAAAGTTCAGCTGTTATGGGAGAAACTCAATGAGTTTTTTTTTTTAATAATAAGCCCACTGACTTTGAAATGACTTCACCACAGTACCATTCAGTGTTTCCACTGAGGATGATGGTGTAGCGGTAGGTGTTTTACCTCCAGGTCTTTGGTGATGGGGTGATGAGCTCCGTGTGTGATGATGAGGACGGCGTAGGCGCTACAGATCAGCCCGTGAGCGGCCTCGATCAGGCCCGCGTGCCAGTGCGTGACGCCCGCTCTCATGATGGCCATTCCCAGCTGCGCGTTATTGGGGTGATAAAGCTTCCTGAGAGCAGAACAGAGTCCAGCTGACCTCATATTAGGAGCACGGGTGATTTCAGAATCTCAGGAATGAACGAGGTTTAGAGTAAATCAGCAGACTCACGTGTATCCGTCCACCATGCGCTTCGCGTAACCCGCCGCCTCGGTGAACTGCTGCAGGAAGGACAGGACCTCGCTGGCGGTGCTGAGGACGCGCAGCAGATGCAGGCTTGTGTCTCCAAACACTGGATCCTGCTTCTCCAAACACTCGCGGCAGATCTTAACCACCTACAGCACCAAGCAGCCGTTAATGAGCGCAGACTAAAACGTACAGTACAGTGACACGACCGAGTAATTTATTCAATTGCATAGTTTTATATTAGTCTAATCGAAA